CTATTAACAATGATTATGGAAAACAAAAAGAAGAAACAAAACCAAAGAAGAAGTATGGAAAGAAATGGAAACGCTTCAAAGAAGAACGAGAAATCACAGAATGGTTTAAGAACCAACCTATTTATGAGGATATTTTAATGTATAATGCTATTGATATTGATGACTGTATTTATTTATTTAAAACAGCAGGGTATTTGGTTACAAAAAAATTCCTTAAAGAATATTTTGAAAAGAATGGAGTAAACTATTATGATGCTGCAAGAGAAAATGCGAACAAGAGAGGAGCTGGAAATTTCTAATATTTTTGTTAGAACACTCTAACTGATTATGTCTATTACCATATTATATAAAATAAAACAATTAATGAAACAATTTATTAAATAGTATAAATAATGTTAATCTATCTTTATGATAAACTTCAAACATATAGAATATTAAGCAATACTGAAAATATAAAAATCTTATTGAAGTAGTGTAGTATTAATAAAAAATAAATTAAAACATTCATTAATTACTTTGAATATACAATTCATTGACTAAACAAATATTAAACTTAATGAATTGATTAAGTAAAATGAAACAAATTAAAAAAAGAGCAAAGCAAAGATACTTCTTAGAACAAACATTAAAAGTAGTTTGTATTAATTTTTTATTGTTATTATACCAAATATTATTTCACTAAGATAATAAATAAGTTAATCAAATATACAAACCTCTAAAAGCAAATTTCAACTGTTATTAAGTAATTAATGTTAAACGAATATGTACATAACGTTACAAAAATTATTAAATAAACTAAAACACTTTTACAAAGTAAAATAATTAATCAAAACAATCTTGAAATATTCTTATTCAATTAACAATGTGTTATTAAATAAATAATTTATCTCAATATCTTAAGAAACAAAAATTTATAAAAAACTCTCATAACCCCAGAGAAATAAGGATAAAAACAAACATATAACTAAACCATCAATATCCACGAAAAAACATTCTAATACTATACCTAATAAATCATCAAATAGTAAGGTTTATTATTGTCATCAAAAAATCTTTTAAATTAAACTTATTGACAACATGCTCTTTAACAAAAGGATATTGTATGAATATTCCCATACATTGTTATGTATTAACAAAACATTTGTACTAAAAACAAATAAATGATACTCATACATATCGTATTATACTTCAATTACATAATAAATCAGAAATATCTTTGTTATTGTATCTAAAAAATAACATATCAAATAAAGAATAAAAGAATTAAAAAGTATAACTAATATCTTACCACTTTAGTTTACTGGTATTTGTAATTAAAGAAGATACAATTCCATCTTATAGTTAAAAAATAATTGAATCAAAAATAAAAAAAGTTATTAAAAAAGAAACAAAAAAAAAAAAAATTAAGAGAAAAAAGCCCAAAATGAAAGAAATGAAAATTCAATCAAGAGAAATGTAAAACAATGAACTTTCGTAACTCAAAATATTTGGTAATACCATCACCAATAAATGTTCCTGGTTTAGGTTGTACAATTTCTAAAATTTTTGCATCAAAATGACTTTTTTTCAATCCTTTATTGGCTTGGAAAGAAATATACTTAGTAAAATAAAAGAAAACATCTTCATTTGGTTCACCAATTTTTAAAAGATCAACATCTTTAGGAACTCCTTTATTATATCCATGAACCCAAAAGAAGTCATTTCCATGTAATGCACATAAAAAGCTACATTCTCCACCGTTCCATCCATGTGGATGAATTTCTGTATCAATATAACACCCAAAAACTCTATCATCTACAGGTGAAACTATAATCATAACACTAGAAAAACCTGATATAATATCAGTAAAAGCAACACGATCCCATCCATCTACATCAGAATCAAATATACATTTGACTGTAGACTTTTTTACTCGTTTAAAAATCTTTGACATAGCATTATTTACTAATGGGTCTGTTATTGGTCTCTCACTATCAACTGTTTTTGCCATTTTTATATGACGAGGTTGATATTCTCCTATTTCATCATATCGTTTAATTGGTTTTGATTCATAAACATTATCTTGTGCTGTATATGTTCCTTGTTGATATATGTCTTGAGGATATACAGAAGGATATGAAGAAGGATTTTGTTGTTCATAAGGATTAGGTTGATACCCTCTAGTAATAGGATTATTAAGTCGATCTCTAATCCTTCGTTCCATATCATCAAGAACTTTTAGCTGTTCTGTGTCATTTACTTTCATTTCATTAAAGCTACCAAAACGGTCTAATAACTTAGAAATAGCTGCGACACTCTCTTGTTTTTTTCTTCTTAAAAATGAAATATCACTTAAGTGATGATTCATTTGGTCAGGTGTTTCTGAATCGATTGAATCAGTAAAAACATTAGTACAAAAAGAAACATACTCATTATTTACTATAGGAACAATAGAGTTGTATTGTTCTCTAATTTGTTCTAAACGTAACCTAGTTGAATCATCTGTTGACATTGCAATTAATATATCTATATCCATTGTAATAAAAATGATAATACTAGAACTTAGATCCTTATAAATTCATTTATAATTTCTTATTAATTCAATTTTAAAGTTAAACCTATCCCTTATTAACCTAATATATCCAATATACTTTATACCTCGTATCAACTCTATATCACTTAAAAATTGAGTACGTTATTAGCACTTCTTTTATAATGAGAGCAAAGTTAAAATAAATACCTGAAAGACATTTACTTGTATCAATAAAAATTAAAGAATCATTCATTTAAAGAAAAAAAAAATAGAAAAATAAAATAAAAATAAAAAAAGGGTTTTGAAAAAGAGAAAAAAGATGAATAAAGACAGATGGTTGAAGTAAGTGGAACATTCAAAGTAATTGCAAAAGATATTGGTGGAAAGATATTTGAAGGAGTTTCACGATTTAAATTAGAAGGTGAAGATTTAACTGTATTTGTTGATATAAATACTGATTTATTTCCATTAGAAGAGTTTGTTATTTCAAACATATATATTCTTACATTTAAATAAGAAATAAAAGTCATAAATAGACATGACCGTATTAAACTTGATTTAACAAAAACATTAAATCGTGATGGAAGTCCAATGGATATTCATCAAGGTTATTCTGATAATTTTGGTAAAAATACTAAAATGGATGACTTTGACTATGTAATGAGTGGGATGGTATTCAAATTCGTTGAAAATAAAAATGATGACAATTTATCTGTTATCGCTTCTTTTGGTGGTTTATTACTAATGCTTTATGGTAAACCAGAAAAACTTTCTGCATATAATATGAAAGATCAAGTTTACTTGTTAATTCGTAAAACCAATTAATTGAATTTGATTTGATTGATTTCTTTTTTTATTTCCTTTTTTATTAATTATATTTTGGTTTTAAATATTAAAAAAATAACAAATATTTTTATTTATTCTAACGAAGTACCGTGCAAATCAATTATTTGTTAAGAACGATTCCTTCATAAGTTTCTTTGAACCAGTTAATAGCATCTTCTTTAGTCAAGAGATGATCTCTACCAATTTTGTCTTGCATTCTCTTTCTTCTAGAAACTCTAAATCCTGGTCTGGCAAGAACAACAAAGAAATCCATACCATAAATTCCAACTTGTGGATCATATTTTAATCCAAGGTCAATATGTTCTTCAATACCAAATCCAAAATTACCAGTGGCTGAGAAATTGTTGGCTTTAAGTTCAAATTCCTTGACTTTCAATCCCTTTTCAAGGATTTCTGCAGCCTTAGCTCCTCTAACTGTAACATGGCATGCAATTTGATCGTTTCTTCTAATAGAGAAAGCACGGACAGTGTATCTGGCTTCAGAAAGAACTGGGGTTTGTCCAGTTAAAGTTTCAAGGACTTTAGCAGCACGAGTTAATCTATCTCCAGACTCACCAACTGAAATATTAAGGACAAGTTTATCGATCTTAATCTTTCTCATAACATCAGACTTCTTGGCTGCCATTTCTATTGCCACAAGGGTTATTTTATTTTTCCAGTTTCTTTTTTAAGGGTTCCATCTTTCTTTTCTTTCCTTTTATTATTTTTTCTAATTATTTTATTATAACTTTTAGTTTATTTCTTTTACTTAATAAATAACAAAAAAAAATAAATTAAAAGTGTTATAAAAAACAAAAATGATGAAGAAATTCAAAAGTAATTTATCTACCTCTCTTGAATTGTCTCTTAATATACCAAACTTGGAAACATCCCATTGCCATAATTACGAAACAACCAATTAAGAAAAGAATAGTGGTTCTTAAATTAGTAGCATCACCAGCTAAAAGAAAATTAATTGATATGATTCAATCATTGAAAAGTGATTAAAAAACAAACTTTGCCTATTACGATTTTCTCGAATTCTTAATCTTCGTTGATCATTTTTAGCATCATTTAAATATGTTGAGACTTGTTGAAGTTTAGTTTTAATTGACTTCACTTCTTGTTCTGTTGCTGGTTGAATTTGTTCAAGTTGTAATTTGAATTCAACTAATTTAGAAGTATAAAGACTCATTGTATTATCAAAACAGAATGAATAAACACCTGGTGTTTTAGTATTGACATAAATATAATTATTGTATTTACCTTCCTCATAAACAATTGAATATATATTAGAACCAGATGGATCTGTAACTGTAAATGCAATATCTTTATTACCTCCTGAAATAACTCCTATTTCAACAATAACTTTTTCAATGTCTTTAATCTCAGAATATACACATTCCTGTGCTCTATTTGGTACTATAAATCTGTAAGCATTTGTACTTGTAAATGTTATAAAAAGAAGAAGTCCAATCATCCTTTTATTTTTTTATAGTTCTTTTTTTATTATTTTTTAAGTTTTTTTAATTTCAATTTTTTGTTCTTTAATCATCTTAAAACTCTTTAATAAATTTAATGTGTTGAAAAAAAAGTTAAAAGAAATTAAAAATTGTTATTTGTTTTAAATAACAAAAATAATGAAATAATTAAAAAGAAAACTATGAATCATAATTCACTTGTCATGAGTTTATTGGAAAGGACACGACAATTACATGAAGAAATTGAGCTTTTTGAAGATGAGATAGTTAGAAGAATTAAGAACCAACCAGTTCTTCAAGAAGATAAAATCAAGAATGAACATATAATTATGAAACTCAATCACGAAATTAATCAAAGAACGGGAGAATTAATTAGTTTATATGAAGATAAAAATGGGAAGAAAGAAGAAGAGTTACAAATGATAAGTGGGAATGGAAATACTGCTGACCTTTTAAAATTATTTTACCAAGGAATTGAACAAATAAAAAATGAATTTAAAGGAAAACCAGTTTCATTTATTGAAAGTGTTGGACCAAGTGATGATATTTATGAAATTACAATACCATTTTCTGGTGAAGAAATGAATGGAAAATGTATTGATTTAATTGTGATATTTAATGAAATGATAAATTTAGTTGAAGACATTAGTCAAGACGACTGGAAATATATTGATTATATTAGAGAGTTTTGGGAATGGGAATCACCGCAAAATCAGAAAAGAAGATATCATTGTTCATGTAATAAATGGAAGAATTATGTAAATAATATTTTAAAATATCTTATTAGTTTTATTGAAAGAAGTCAACCATTATTTGACATAAATATGAATATTAGTATTACTAAAAAACAATTTAGTGATGAGCAAATTAATGACATGAATTATAAAGAAGAGGTATTAAAAAAGAATTGTTTTTGTGTGTATTGTGATAAAAAGTTTTCAAAAGAAACAGTTGTAGAATCTCATTTCAAAAGTAAAAAACATTTTCAAATGGTAAAAAAAAGTGAAGAAAGAAGTATTAATGAAACAATGTTATTAATAAAAGAATTAATGACAAATGAAGAAATGAAAAAAGTTGTTCAATCAACAATAGAAAATTTAAACTTAAAAATGGGAAGAACAGTAAAAGAATTAGATGAAATAGCTAAAGGAAATATTATGGATGAAATTGAAATAAATGAAGAAGATTTAGAAAATAATGAAGAAATAAGAAAAGGAATAGATAACTACCCAATTGGAGATGATGGAAGACCAATTCCATTTTGGTTATATAAACTTCATGGACTTGGAACAGAATTTAAATGTGAAATTTGTGGAAATAAAAGTTATTTTGGAAGAAAAGAATATGAAAAACATTTTCAAGAAGCCCAACACGTAAGAGGACTTAAATGTCTTGGTATAGCTAATTCTGTAGAATTTTTTGATATTTGTAGAATTAAAGATGCATTAGCACTTGCTCATAAATTAGATGTAATGAAAAAAGAAGCAGAATTTGATGTTGCAAATGATGAAGAATTTGAAGATGCTGAAGGAAATATTATTTTAAAGAAAGATTATTTATTATTACAAAAGCAAGGATTGATTTAATTGAATTAACAAACCTAAAAATAAAAAAGTTTTTTTAAAGATATTAAAAATTATAAAAAAAGAGAATAAAAGAAGAAACAACATTATAATAATTTTATTAAATTTTTAATTCATATTAATTAAAGATTTTAGAAGATACTAAATTTGTATAAAAAAGAAAAAAAGAAATTAAAATATAAATGAAAGTTGAATAACATCAAAAATGAAAAAATTCAAGAGAAGTCTCTCTTCTTTACTATTTTTAAAACATGAAAATAGTTTTTGTCTGTTTGGCTCTTTTATATGAAATTAATACAAACAAAAGAAATAATAAAAAACTAATAAATATAGTTTATAACTGGAGTTAAGATTAAGAAATTCCTCTTTATTTAGTCTCTTTATAATGAGAACTTTGACTAAATAATAATAAAATATGATCGATTATCCTCATCATCCATTTGTTGATTATCCATTAATAAATAAACCTAATGAATTAATTCAAAATAATGAACAATTATTATTAACAAGAGAATTGTTGGAAAATATAGAAATTCATCCTATTTCTCCAATTAAAAGAGAAAAAGAAATTGCTGATAATAAAAAACCAAAAGCTCTTGACAATATATTAAAGAAATCTGAACAAAAATATCCTAAAATTCGAGTTTCACTTGAAGTATTTAATCAACTAAAACAAATTCAAAAACAAAAAAATTATAAGTCATTTTGTGAAGTTGTTTCTAAACTTCTTGAATTATATGAAGAACGTGATGTTTCTTCGTTAAGTAAAAGTATTGATTAAAACAAATTTTCCTTCAACATTATATAATATTATTTAAAATTAATTCCATTTCATTTATATAATTTTAGTTTTTTTTAAATTTTTGTGTTTTATTTAACAATATATTTTTATAAAAACAAACATTTATAAAAACAAAAAAATAACAACATTAACCACCACACTTAATTTGAAAATGCTCATCTGTATGATTTTTGGTATTTAGCACGAGCTCCTGGTCCTCCAAATTTCTTAGCTTCACATCTTCTTGGATCAGCAACAAGGAGAGTTCTATCATATTCAAGGAATTTAGCTTTAAGTTCATTCTTTGTAGTTTCATCAACAAACTTTTGGTTATAAGCAATAAGGGCTTTAGCAATAGCTTGTCTAATAGCATAAGCTTGAGCAACTTGTCCACCACCAGTGACTCTGATTTTAAGGTCTAATTTAGCATAGTTTTCTTTACCAACAATGAATAATGGTTCAAAAACTTTAATTCTTAATACTGGTGGGTTGATAAGATCAAGTGGAACACCATTAACTCTAATCATACCTTTTCCTTCTTTGCAAAGGCATACTGCAATAGCTGTCTTTTTCTTTCCAAAAACTTGAACACTCTTAAGAGCTTCAGTATGTTTCTTTTGAGTCTTTCCTGTGGCTTTTACTGCTGAAGACATTGCTCTTTTTTAGGGTTAGTTCTTTCTTTTTTAGGGTTCTTTTTTGTTTTATATAGTTTAAATATATTAATATTAAATATTTATATATAATGTTATATAAAACATTTTATATCATTATTGAGAACTAAAAAATAAAACAAGTAGGAAGTTAATAGAAATGAATCAAAGAAGAAGAAATAGATTATATAGAACACCATACCCATTTCCTGCTACTACACCACATGGAGAAGTTTTAACAACAAGAACTGAAGTACATAAATATAATAAACATTTGCCTACATCCCCTGACTTAAGTTTTCTTAAAAACTATTCTAAAGAATTACCTGAGATTAATATAACTCATCAAGAAGATATTTTAAAAGATGCACAAAGGACAATTGTTAGAAACTCACATAATAAACAAGAAATGACAACTAAATTAATTCATATTTTAAAGTCTATAGAAGCTAGTTATGGAAATTATCTCCCTCAATTACTTCATCTTGCTGCTTCGTTACTTTTTGTAAGTAATGATGAATCAATGACATATGGTGTATTAATAGAATTGATAAAAATATTAGACGATTATTTTACTGACAACATGATTGGTATTCAAGCTGATGTAGAATTAATTAACAAATTAATTACTTTTCAACACCCATCAATTTCAATTATTAATGTTATGTCTTCAGTAGTTTGGAGATGGTTATTAGGTTGTATGGCATCAGACTTTCCATTGTACACAACTATTGAAACTATTCATTTAATTTTACTTAAAGGAAGATGTGGACTAGTATCATTATGTTATGGTTTACTGGAAAGGACAGTTGAATTTGATGATCCTGAAGCAATTAAATATTACCCATTCACAGTCTATCGTTTTGGAAAAGTTACTGAGATTATGTCAACTTATCAAATCCCAAATTATATATCATTTCATAAGCAAGAGCTTGAAAAAATCAAAATAAACCAGTCTTTTTCTCTCCATTTTAAAATCCAATCTTCAATCGAGTTGTTGGTCAAAGGTGTTGGAAATATTTTATCTATTTCTCAATACGAAAGTGAAAATATTGTTAAACAATGTAATAACTTTGGAGCAAAATCATGTGAGTCTCTTGAAAAAAAGTTTTATGACTGCCAAAAATTGTACAAACTCTTTGGTGGGACTCGAAATGAAATGAAACATCTTCAATTATTTGGAATAATTGTTTGGACATTAGATGGAACGCCAGAGTTAAGATGTAAAATTATTTTTGAAAATTTAAATAGACTACAAAAAGACTCATTAATGTTTGCTGACCTTGAAACTGGTATTAAAAGATTTAATGATTATTTGATTAGTGAAAAAAAAGAAAGTAGTTGTATTGACGTTCATAATCTTAGACTCAAATATCCAGTTCAAAACATAACAATAAAAATGTTAAATCTGATGTGTAAGAATGAGTTATCAATTTTGGTTGAAGGGTCAAATTTAGGTATTGAAGGGTCAAAAATAAAAGACAAAATAATAGAAATGTATAGTTCAATATAATAATTGACTTTGTCTGAGAGAAAAGGAATCGTTTTAGATATATAACTACTTCCTAAAATAGTTTAAAGAAGGAAAAACCAAAAATAGAATCGTTTTGAAAAAGAAAAGTCAAGTCAAAGAAGTGACAATAGATGATTAAGATCTCAACTCAAAACATTATCAAATTCAATCATTAGATATATGTCATTTGAAGAAGTAAATTCTAATGAATATAAAAATCAAATATACTCTACATTCATTGATCAAGCACAACAAATATATAATCTAGAAATGATGAATGAAATGCTCAAACAACAACTTATGAGTTTTTCATGTAATACATTAAACACAAACCAGATTACTAGTTTTGATTCAGTGCTAGTTGATAGTAGTCCAAGTGAACAATCAAATGAAAAACCTGTTCAGAGTATGTTACAGTCACGACGTTATTGGTCAACTGAAGAACATACTAAATTTATTAAAGCAATTACTTGGCTTGGATGTACTTCTACTAGACGTCTTCCAGTAAAATTAATTTCTAAGTTTGTTGGAACAAGGACTCCAGTCCAAGTAAGAACACATGCTCAAAAGTTTTTTGATGCCACAGAAAAGGCATCTGTTTGTTTTTTTTTGTTCATTAATGATGTGGTATTAAAAAAAATAACAATATAGTTAGGACATAAAACTAATATGACAGTTTCAAACTGTGAATTGACTATTGAAGACGTTAATGAATTAACAAAACTTAAAGAAGAATATACAAAGAATCGTTTTGATATCACTATGTTTTAAGACGGTTCTTATTTTTATTCGTGTATTAATAACATATTTCAAAATGAAATAATATCTAAATGTTTAATTAATTGGTTTGTCTAATTCAAAAAATATAATACGAGTAAATGTTCCAATAAGTGATGAAGATATTTTATCTAATAGCTCTTTTGGATCTAATCCATAGAAATACTTTGAAATATTTTGTTGGAGTTGAAGTTGTCCTAATCCATTCTCTCCTTTACGTATAAACAGTATGTCAATTATTTGAAAGAATAAATTTTCATCACTTTCTTTTTCAGAAGCAAAATAAATAACTTTTTTTCCATCATAATTACGAGAAAATATTTCATGTATAGAAAACTGAAGGTCAATTGGTTTATTTAAGTTGATAGTAAAAATTTTCATTTTCTCATCATCAAGCCATTTTCCTTCTATTGTTAATGAATGAAAGACAAATCCAAATGCTTTTTTTGATGAATTAAAAATAACTCCCATCACACCTTTCTTTCCCATAACATGTTTATTAAATGATTTTCTTTCCCAACCATCATATAAAGTATCAAAAATTACTGTCATTTCTTTAAATCCTATTTTTTGTAATATTTTACTGCTCATTTTTTCTATTAAAACCATTTCATTTTGTTTAATTTCTTTTTTATGTTGTTTTTGTTTTAATTCATCAATTCTTTTATCTAATGAAGGGAAAGGTTTTTTTTCATTTTCTTCTGTTCTAAGTGTATTTTTATATGAATGGGTTTGTGTTTCATAAATTTCATTTGTAACATTAATAAAATTGTCTTCCCATTCCATTGAAGAATCATTATTTACTCTTAATGAAATACCATTATCAGAATCTTCCATATCAATAATTACTTGATGTTTAGGTTGACAATTAGAATAATAATGATCAACATCATCCCATTCATCTATTTGTTCATTAGTAATATTATCCTTTTTATATTTATCATTGACCTTATCTTCTTTTTTACTTAATTGAATTTTTAATTCATTTCCATCTATTTGTTCAAGATCAACTGATTGAAGTGTTTTAGTAAAATTTTCATGTTTTTGATAAAACGGTATTAAATCTTCATGATGTTTTTTTACATTTTCTTCTATTCTTTGAATAATAGAACCTTCATTTAAATTGAGTACTTTAATTTTTTCTATTGATTCTTGTTGAATATTAATAATTTCTTTATAATTTTGAATAATTTTTTGAGATAAATTAGCTAATTCAACACATCTCTTTTTTTCTTCATAAATTTTTTGAAGTCTTTTTTCCAAATCATTATCGTTTAATGATTTAATATCATTATAATAAATATCAAAATTATTTTTTCTTTCTTCTTTAACAATTTCTTCATATTTATTAAATTCATTTTTAATTTGTTCAATATGATATTTAGTACTTTCTTTTACTGCTAATGTTTTTAATAAATCAATTTCCATTCTTTTTAATTATGTTTTTAAGTTTCTTTTTTTATGGTTTTATTTATTATATTTTTACTATATTTTAAACTATTAAAAAAAACAAAATGAATTTTTTTCTTTCATTAAAATTGTTAAATAAAAAATTCTTTTATTGAAAACCCATTTGGTTTGGATTTGTAATTGGCGTTTTCTTTTTTTTCTGGTTATTTGCACTTTTTTTAAATAAGTCTTCATCATCAAACACAATTGTTTTGCTAATTTTCTTTTCTTTTTTATTAAATTTATTAAATATTGGTTTTTTTTCTTTAACTATTGTATCATTTATATTTTGTTCATTTATTCCATACAATTTATTTTGTTTTACTATTGAATCAAGTACTTCTTTTAATTCATCTCTTTCATCTTCATTATTTAAAGGTTCGTCATTATCATCTTCTGGTTCAATTAATTTAATAAAAAGTCCTTCATCTTTTTCTTCTAATTCAATAATTCCTTTTGTCTCTAAATATCTAACAAATCCTGATAAAGAAGTCCATTGCGTAGAATTCATATGAATATGATTTTTGTCTTGAATATATTCATTATAAATAATATTTGCATTTACTTGTTTTCTTTTATATTGTGTTTGTAATATTCTAATAAACCCATTTTGAAATTGATTAGAGAAATCTTTTTGGTATTTCATTGGATCAGAAGCATATAATTCCATCATCCTTCTATGACCTTCAGTTTCACAATGACATTTAAATCCATTTGCATCACGACATTGTTTTTGACACATTTGGCAATAATATTTAACTTTTTGTAATCCTTTTGCTTTTATTTGATTATCTGTTTTTCTTGATTGAGCATTGTAGATATTCATACTAAAACTAAATTATTCAGTGAGATAAAAACTAAATATAATATATTTATAGTTTAATATTAATAATAAATAGTTTTATTCAATTATTTCTTAATGATTTAAAAAATGGATGATTCATTGCTTCATCTGCTGAAAGCCTTTTTTGATGATCAAAGACTAATACTTTTTCTAACAAATCTAATGCTTCTACGGTACAAAAATTTTTATTATTTTCATTAATAAATTTTGAAAATGAAGACGTAGAATAATTTTTAAGAGTAAATAGAAGAGAAGAATCTACTTTACAGTTATATTTAGTAATATAAATATATAATTCATTAGTTCCAAATAATTGAACTATTTGAAGTAATTGATCATCAAGATCTCTCCCTTCAAAAATTGGTTCTTTTTTAAAAATTAATGAACCTAATATGCATCCAAATCCCCACATATCTAATGAATAATCATATTGTTGCATATTTAATAATAATTCTGGTGATTTATAAGATCTTGACGCAACTCGTACATTATATTCTTTTCCTGGATGATAAAATTCAGCTAATCCCCAATCAATAATTCTTAATTTTTTTGTATTTAAATCATAACAAATATTATCTGGTTTAATGTCTCTATGCATAATTCCTTTTGAATGTGCATATTTTAAAGCTTTAAGTAATTCATATAAATAATATTGAGTATCTTGAAGTGTAAATTTCTTATAAAAGAATTGAAATTTTGTGTTTTCAATATATTCCATTACTAATGATGGTGTCCCTGTTATATCTTCTTTTACACAATCATATAAACGAATTATATTTGGTCCATTAATTAGTCGTTGTAACACTAATATTTCTCTTTTAAACCTATCTTCTTTAATTGGTTTAAGACATTTAATAGCACATGGAAATAACCCTTCGGTAATAATTCCTTTAAAGACACTACTATACTTTCCTCTTCCAATTCTTGATACTATTTGATATGGTTGTGGAGACCCCCAACTAATATTTACTTTCTCATAATTCCATTCTTCTTCTGGAACATTTGTTAATACATCTGCATATACTTTACTTATACTAACATTATATTTTGATGGACACTGTGACATTGGAAATTTGTTTACTAATTGAAGTTCAAGTGAAAAATAATTAAATTGAAAAGAATTTACTAATGTCAATAATAAAATTATTAATAAACTATTCATTTTAAATTTTTTTAGTTAATTTGTCTTTTTCAGTTATTGGAAAAACTGACATTATGAAATTCAAAAATTAAGTTATAAAATTAATGTTTTATTATTTGTTCATTAAAGTCTAAATAATGCTTACACTGAGATTACAAAAACTTCTTTTATTCATTTCATTGATTATTTCTATTAAATTTAAAAATTATATTATTTACTAATGATATTGTTTTAAACTAACATCTTCTTAATGAGAAAAATAATTTTTTATGACTAAACAATATTGAAGTATTATTGAATCTTTATTATCCTTTCAGATAAACAACTATATTATGTTATATTTTAATGACTCTTTCATTTTAAATAATTCAAAGCAAAAAGTTATGGATATTCAAAAAAAAAGGTTTATCTATCTATTTAAAAAGACAACTTATAATGGTAAATATTTTCATAATAAAGTAAGTGAATGAAAATTAAAATATATTGTTAATTATGGAAAAATTGTAATTATATTTTGAAAGATAAATCCCAAATTATTACAAAAACTACAAAAATAATTAAAATATTAAATATTTATTAAAATTAACAAACTTAACATTCTATAAATAGATGCAATGGTATTTTAGTGTTATTTCAATAAACTCATTAACCCTATTTATCTGTCAAAGTTAGAGAAAAAACAACAATACCAAGTGAATAGTATGTTACAAAAAATTTAACTTTATAATAGAATTGTTTTATTATGAAAGAATTAATTTAATAAAAATAAAATAATCTTTTAAAATTTCCAAAAGAGAAATAAAAACTGTTTTTTATATGAATAAACAAATTTAAAGAATTAACATTTTAAAATAACCATAAGAAACTAAAAGTAGTTTCAAGAATAAAATTTCAAATAATAAAATTATTTTTCAATAATAAAAGAGAATTAAAAAAAAGGAAAAAAGATAAAAAAAGAGAAATAACACTTCAATTAAATAAATAAGTACTTTTTTTTTAGAAAGTATTGCAAACAAAAAAAGACAATTTAAAGTTAATTAAGATTAATATTTTATTAAAAAAATTCAGTTACAATTAATATTCTATTAATATTTTTTCAAATTTCAATTAGTTTTAATTTAAATGAATTGAAAAAATAAATATAGAAAAAAGTAATGGTTTTATTTTTAACAACATCCTCCATCTGAATTACCTTGTTTTTGAGAAACAGATGCACGTCCTGATGGATCAAGTTGAATTCCTTTTTTACTACACTCTAGAACAGTATTTTTAGAGAATTCATCAAATAATAATTGAACATTAGTACCAAGAGTGGCAGAAGTTTCATAATATGGAATTTTATATGACTGTGCTTTTTCTTGAGCTTCAGTTGTAGTAACAACTCTACTTGAATCTAAATCAGACTTATTTCCTACAAGAACAATATATGTATATACTTGTGTATTCTTTTTAATTTCATCCATCCAATATTGAACTTGATCAAATGTCTTTTTATCTGTTACATCAAATACAATGATGATACCATTAACATCACGATAATATGAAGATACCATGGATCTAAATCGTTCTTGTCCAGCTAATAAATAAATATTTATTGTTTAAATTAACATAAAGAAAATACAAACAAACCTGTGTCATATATTCTTAGTTTAAATCTTTTACCATCAACTTGAACCTCTTTAGTGTGTGAATCAATACTAACAGTAGCTTTTATATCTCCAACTAATTTTCCATTTTCTAAAACATTTAATAATGATGTTTTACCGACTGATGATTCTCCAATAATAATTGCTTTGATTTCACCTACCTTTGTAGAAACTACAGTCATTCGTTATTTTTATTTTAAAGATAAAATTATTTTAAGTTCCTTTTTTCACTTCCTTTTCAGATTTTTTGATATCAAAAATTTTTAAAGTTCTTTGAATAAAAATTGAAAAAACATTAAAAAATTAAAAAAAAAACACAAAATAACAATAATAATAACAAAATAAAAATAAAATGGAATTTAAAAACTTCAACGTGAATTATTCATAAGTCGATCTTATATTTTTCAAATCAATTAAAACCCATTAATGACACAACAAATTGATGAAGCTGTATTGTCAAGACAATTATTTACTATTGGA